AGGCCATGGTCCTACCCTTGAGCCTGAGGTAGCTCTTCTTCCAGTTTCCTTGGTCACTCTGCTTCTGCCAATTAATGCCAAAGGCAACCCACTCTGCCAGAAATCTTCCTGCCCCAAAACACTCAACTTTCTTGCTCCATGGGCCAGCCAATCTGCTACTCCATCTCAGGTCCGTCTCTTCTACCAATTAATGCCTGAAGGCAACCCACTTCACTAGAAAGCCACCCACCCAATGACATCTGGCTTTCTCCTCCATGGGTTGGTAAGGCTGTCACTATCTCATGCTGGTCTCTGGGCTTTGTGTTGCCGTTTCTCATGCTGGTCTCTTGGTTCTGCTCCTGCTGTCTTTCATGCCACATACCAAGGTCTCTCTGTCAGGGTCTCGGGTAGAGAACACACTCCACTCCTGTTTACATATTTTAGGTATCTGGCAGAGCAGCACCCCACTCCTGGTACCATATTCTGTTTTGGTCACCTCTATGCTGCTCTAACAGGAAACATACCACAAATGAGATGGCTTTAGCAAACAGGAGTTTATTCTCTCACAATTTTGGAAGCTTTACATCTGAGTTAAAAATGCTAGGCTGTAGGGATTGGGTGAAAACCCCTCAACCATTCTCAAAGCTGCTTCTTATATATGGGAAGCAGACCATATCCCTAAAGCAGCTACTCAGCTCCTGGAGTAGATTCCACCATGGAGTTAATTACCAGTCTCACAATGGGGAATAACTAGCCCAGCCACTCAACCAGGTCCATCCAAGCTGACACACAAACTTAACTATCACAGAAGGGAAAAGAAGTCTAAGTTATATACAAAAAAGGACATGAGTTCAGTAAAGGGAAGAAGAACTTTAAAGGATCATTTTGAGGAAATTGAGCAGAAGGTATCTCTTTCCAATATTTAAGGAGGATTAGAGCTTTGAATTCCTTTTTTCAGCCAAACAGTAATAATCTGTCATTCCATATTGTTAAGTGTTATTTAGTCAGCTCTAACTCATAACAAGGAGCTCTGGTAGCATAGTGCCTAAGGCACTTGACTGCTAACCAGAAGGCTGGCGGTTCAAACCCGCCAGCCACTCCTCGGAAGGAAGGTTGGGCATTCCTACTTCCGTAGTGATACTGCCTTGGAAACCCAAGGAGGGGTCGCTATGAGTCGGGGCCAACTCGAT